AACTGAGCTTGCCTTGCTAGTAGTATTTGTTGCTTTTGTTTGCTGGTTTTTCCCATCTCTAAGGCACTTTCTTTCAGATAAAGGAGAAAGACAGATATTTGACCCTTTGAGAACCACAGTGCAGGTACTTCAGACCACTGGGAGGGAGTTCTGGGGAAGAAGAAACTGAATTAACTATAGGGTACCTTCTCTGAAAAGGTAGATGCTGTTTTTCACGGACTCACACTTCTGCCCCCGTGTCCAGGGGCATAGTAGCTGTATTCCAAGAAGTTTGTGGGTGTATAACTGCTTTTAAAGGATACTGTTAGCCTATCCATGGGTCCCCTGATTCTGACCATTTCCATTCCATAGCATTTTCTCCTATCTCAACATCATTTTCTGTCCCTTCCCTGTCAAAGCTACCTCCTGATATCACTTCTTATTTTCCCAAGCAGGAGTAATCTCCTCCATCCCAGTGTTCTTAGCTCACTTAGCTCTGAGCTCTGAAACTCTGAAATCCAAAATGCTCTAAAATCAGGAGCTTTGAGCATCCATATGATGGAAAATTCCACAACTGACCACATATAAAAGACTGCAAGCAAAACACAGGCACACTAAAAAGATTGTATATGGGACTGGGGAGACGGTTACTACATACGCACAAGGGCCTCGGTTTGAATTCTCCAAGCCCATATAAAGCTAGGCATAATAGTGTACATCTACATAATTCTAGCACTCCTATTTGACATGGGAGACAGAATTAAAAGAAACCCCAGAAACTCATGGCCTAGATAGCCTGGCACACACCGCAGTAAACAGGGTCACTGTCTCAAATAAAATGGAAGCAGGGACCACATCTGAGATTGTCCTATAACCTCCACATATAAGCCATGGCACACATGTACTAGCACACATACATACACCATATACACATATACATATGCAAATAATAATAAAAATTAAAATTGAATACATAATAAAAATTTATAGACCCACATAAAATTACCTCAATGCTAATAAGGTATATATGAAGCACAGTCAATTTCATGCTTAAACTTTGCTCCCATTCAAAGATCTCTCATTATGAACAACTATTCCAAAGTTAAGAAATGTTCAAAATTCGAGGCCCTTTTTATCCCAATCATTTTTAAACAAAGGATACTCAACCTATGTCGTGCTCTTAGGGAGCATGTCACAAGAACCCGTATATTATAAATGTCTGTTGTTTCCTTTCTCTAAACGGCAAGCTCTTTGCCTGTGGGAGTAGATGGTACACTTTTGTGTATCCCTGTAGTGCGTAGCCTCACGTAACTGGCACTTGATACTTGTTTAAAAATGAATGCTGCTCAAGGCAGGCTTAGGAGAGCTCCCTGTGAGTACAGAGTTGAACCTTTATGTCACTGAGTGACCCTCAAGTCTGTGTGCTAGTCCCTACACAAGCTGAAAGTAAGAACGCCCAAGCCTACCTTCTCCCCAGCCTGCTTCCCTAAAGAAACCTTCTTAGCTCTAATGCTACCTTCATGTGTCGTTCTGAGAATGCAATCCCCTACTCGGGGCCACCCAGGGCCCAAGCTGTGAACTCATCACGATTGGCAAATGTGCTGAAAGGACAAGGAGGAGCCAGGCAGTGTCAAAAGTTTGTAATAACAGCATCTGGGAAGCGGAGGCAGGAAGATCAAAGTTTTTAGATCAAGCTTCTCAGTCATGCCTAGGCTACAAAGCAAGTTCAAAGCTATCCTGGGCAATTTAGTGAGGCCGTTTCAGTCTAACAAGAAAAGTTGTTCTCCCTACATTCTGACCTCCCATCACTTCGCAAGGGCCTGGAGGCACTTTAGTTATCACCACCTCATCCAACTGATAGTCCTTGGGTAACGGCTTTCGGGAAATGCAGGGCTGTATCTGAATCTGTGCTCGTCTTTGCTGAAGGTTTTGTCAGGGCTAGACACTGAGGACTTATCAGAGATAATGACAATAAAAAAAAGCCCGCCCTGAATTAAGGAATTGTAATGACATACCATTTGCCGGTCAGATAATATATACGAGGCAAATTCTTTAGTCCTCTTTATTGACCTCCAGAACAAATACCGTCACGACTCTTATTTCATGGGTGGGGAAATGAGGCCCAGAAAAGGGCAGCTGCCTGCCCAGGAGTCACACAGCTAATATATGTTAAAGTTGCCTCTCTCCTTCCTCGGGGCTTTCCTTTGTCCACCAGGAAGTACAGAGCTCTTTCCTAAATGCTAGACAATTAGCTAATTTAGATGTTAGTTCCCTTACCTCTCCTGAGAAGGAGGAAGTTGGACCTTGAGAACTGGCAGTTCGAAATTTCAGTGCATGAACAGTTGAGGAAAAAAATAACAGTGGGAAAAGCCCAGAAACTGACAGGCGGAAGCCTGAATCCATTTGAGTCGCTCTACAACAGTAAGGAAGTGGCTTCTGAATGACAGAAATGGATTCCTCGTACTCCTGGAGGCTGGGAAGTTCAAAGTCAAGGCAAATTTGACATCCAGTGAGTGCCTGCTTCTCATTGTTAGATGGCACCTTCGTGCTGTGTCTTTCCGTGGTGGAAGAAGCAGGACAATTCTTGATGTGGCTTTCTGGCCACAAATCTCGTTCCGGAGGGCTCTGGCTTCGTGATCTTATCACCTCCCAAAGTTTAATGGCTGTCAGGGTGGTAAGGGAGACTGTGGCCCTTGCCTTTGTTGCAGCCTCACTGATGTCTGGCTCTCTGGAGTGTCCCAGGTGAGTGTCCCTGCCTTAGCAGTTAGAAGCAAAGGATGCTCTGTGAAGCCGGGTGGATGTCTGAGCAGCTATTAGGGCAAGATGGGCTTTTTGGAGCATTGGTATTAAAATGAAGGGAAGGAAAAACTGCCCCCCACACTCTTGTTTGCTCGAAAAGTATACAGTGCCCTAAATATTTTGGGAATAGCAGTTGTTGATCAGGGGAAACAAGACTGTCCCTAGAGGGCAGGCAAGGAGGGACTAGGGAGGGCCTCCCCAGTTCCACTGACCTGAACTCTGCCCTTTTCTCCTGACCTGAGCAAGCTTGTTCCTTTGAATCCATAAAACTCTGTGAGTCAAAACAGCCATTCTGTGCTAAGCTCTGTCCAAACACTAACAGCAGCTAAGATAAAGATGCTCTCCCACCTCCAGCCCCCAAAAGAGCAAGTGAAGATAAAGGAAAGGGAATAAAGGCCCTCCAGGAAACACCTGCTGTCAAAGGAGACGGTCACCTGGGAAGCCTCTGCTCTCCCAAGGGTATGGAAAATGGAGTTGACTGACCCCACTGCTCGCTTGCAGCAGATCTGGAGATGAGGCACCTATTTTCACCAGCTTTCCCACCAGATAGCTGTCAGTTACCTATTTGCAGGGCTGTGTCCCCTGGAGTCTTCAATTAACAGATAAGGTCACGAGGATGATGGCTTGGGCACTGAGACCCAGCATGGCCCTTAATCCTGCATGTGGACAGAAACACGTCACAGGACCTCTGAGCCCCACCTATCCAGCATGCGGCAGAGAGCTGCGCCTTCTTCTTGTGCTGACAGACTAAATGACATTATTGAACGTTAGCAGGCACATTGCAAATGTTGTTCTCATTGTGCCTGCAGCACCTCGTCCCAGTCTATGCATAGACAGCGAGGGAGGCCTGATTAGAATGCTACAAAGCCAGCCCAGGTGTGTTTCTGTTTTCTGAACTTACTGTCAATACATACATGAAACATCTACAAATGACAATACATGCAAAACCTTAGTAACCCCTCCATTTGATAGCTAATGCTGAGTGGTGATGACAGAAGAGTTCATTATGCTTTTGTTGAGTTTGTTTAATGAGCATTTATTAATCAGGCCCAGTGGTACAAACCTGCAGAGACTGAGGCAGGAGGCAGGAAGATCACCAAGAGTAAGTTCAGAGCCAGCCTAGGTAATTTAGTGAGAAAGAGTCTCAAATTTTAAAACATGTTCTCTCTCTCTCTCTCTCTCTCTCTCTCTCTCTCTCTCTCTCTCTGTGTGTGTGTGTGTGTGTGTGTGTGTGTGTGTGTGTGTATGTGTGTGTGTGTGTGTGTATCATGTCATTCATGTGGTGCTCAGAGGACAACCCACAGGACTCAGTTCTCTCCTTCCACCATGTAGGCTTGGCGTCCTGTGCCCTAACTGGCCGGGCCATCTCATCAGGTTTTAAAGCAAAATAAAAGGACTCAGGGATACAGCTCGGTTGAAAAGTGCTTGCCTGACACACACAAGGCCCAGATTTCCATCCCCAGAAAAACAGACATTCAGTGAGAGGCCACCAAGCACCAGTCCTGCATGTAACTGTATCTCCTCAGCCTCCTGGAAATTGCTATCTCCCAAATTTCGTTTCTTCATGTACATTCTCCCTCCTAGGGAAGATGTCACTGTCAAAGTTTGCTCTTAGAAAATTTAGTCATAGCTACTGGTTGGTGTGGGGCCACTCTGGCTCAAGCCCCTGGGCCTCTGCAAGTCTACCCATACTTTCTCACAAGCTGCTCGCCTGCATCCCAAATGCTTTCTCTTGGAGGCTCAGCTGTGCTCTGGGCTTCCCCACACCAAGCCCTCAGTAGCCACACTGGCCCTGACTGTTCCTCTCCTCTCTTCCCAAGCACAAAACTAATCCGCTGTGTTTGCTCACTTTTCGTGCAATGATAGCAGGCTTTCCGGGCAGCTCATTGTCCCTCAGGCCTGATGCTGAAATGCAAGGCAGGTACACTGGCAGAATCGAGATGTGCTCATAGGCACAACACTGCAGAGCAGCTGCCCATGCCCACTGTGTGACTCCCTCTACTGTAGAGCAAGGGCTTCCCCGCTATAGGACAACGATATGGGGCCTGGCTACACCAACAGGGATATGAGTCATGTGGGTCACAAGACAGAAAGATCTGTCACTGCAGCATGGTTGCCTTGCTATTGCTGCTGTTGTTTAATTATTGATTCTAGTTTCATTTTTATTATTGATTCTAGTTTCATTTTTGTAATGATAATAAAATATTCAGACAAAAAGTAACTCAGGAGAACGGGAACATTATTCAGCTTACAATTCCAAGTTCCAGTCTGTTATTGTGAGGACACTAAGGCAGGAACTTCAAGCATCTTATCTACAGTCAAGAGCGTAGAGGATAAACCCATCAGTCCTCCTCCCTTCCCTTCCATTTGAGGTCAGCTAGCTTTCTTTACCTCTGTGCAGTTCAGGGCCCAGCCTAGGGAATAGTGCTGCCCACGGTGAGGTGGTTCGGTGAGGTGGTTCTTCCAACATCAATCAACAATCCAGACAGTCCCCTGCAGACATGCCCACAGGCCAATGTAACCCAGATAAGTCTTCAGTAAGCCTCTCTTCCCAGGTGATCCTCGTTTCTTTCAAAATGTCAGTGAACACAAAGCAGCACAGTGCTATTCACCAAAGGACTCGAGCATCTTTACCATTAACTGCCTTCCACATATAACGGCACAGCTTTGCATTCAAGTCGAATCCTACACATCTCCAGAAAACAAAGGTCATTTCCAAGTGACAAGTTGAAAAGTTCTGAGCTCCTGTTTGCTACCCTGACAAACCGTCTTTTGCCTACTTATTTTTCCCTTCTCTTCCCTGACCCACTGACCTTGAACTCCTAGCTTCAAGTGATCCTCCTGCCCACATCCCCCAAGTATCTGGGACTGTATCTTGGTCGTGCTATCTTAAAACTCCTACAACGAAACGTGCTCTTTTCAGCAGGCAAATGCATGCACACAAAATCCAAACGGAAGCATACATACACAATGGAAACCAAGTCTCCTCACCCTGTGCCCTCTCCATCCAGTTCCCTCCAAGACACAGCACCATAGTTCCCGTGTCCTTACCTGTATCTTTCCAAAGATGATTCATGCAAAAGTCGCATTAATGTGAAGATTTGTGTTCTTTCTGGTTGTAGGGAGTCAGCAGTATACGGTGTGTAGTCTTCTCCACCAAACAACCCTTACAAGGGGTTGCATAGCAGATATCCTGCATATTAGATGCTTACATTATAATTCTTAACAGCAGCAGAATTACACTTACGAAGCAGTGATGATGATGGTTTTATGGTTGAGGGTCAGCACAACATGAGGCACTGGATTAAAGAGTTGCAGCATAGGGAGGTCGAGAACCACTGGTCTACACCCGTTCTTTTTCACTAAAATATGTCTTAAGAGTGACACCCTATCCAAGCGATGGAGAAGCCACATATTCTTAATTGTGGCATAGTATTCTATAGCATAATGTCTTATTTTCTACCTGTGAGCATCCAGACTTATCTCCAGTCTTTTGCTGTTACTAACACTGCAGTAGCAAATATCCTTGTAACATACATCATTTCATATATATGCAGATATATCTGCAGAATAAATTCCTTAAGGTAGTAGTATTTTGACAAAAAGAGTTCATAGTGGACTGGGTATATATAGTCATTTTGTAGAGTCTTTGACATGCACAAAGTCCTAGGTTCCATCCCAGCACTCACGAAATAGAAGACAGGAGAATCAGAAATTCAAGGTCATTCTCACCTACATAGTGAGTTCAAGACCAGCTTGGGTTACATGAGACCCCTGTCATCAAAAATCATGCAAGTATATGTGGTGATTTGAAAGAAAATGGTCCCCGTGGGCTTTAGAGAGTGGCACTATTAGCAGGTGTGGCCTTGTTGGAAGTAGGTGTGGCTTTGTTGGAGGAAGTGTGTCACTAGGGAGTTGGCTTTGAGGTCGCAGAGCCGCAAGCCAGGCCTAGTGTGGCTCACTATCACTTTCTGCTGCCTTTGGATTCAAATGTAGAACTCAGCTCCTTCTCCAGCACCAAGTCTGCCCGCATGCCACCATGCTTCCTGCCTTGATGATAATGGACTAAACTTATGTAGCTGTAAGCCAGCCCCAACTAAGTGTTTTCCTTTATAAGCGTTGCCAGGGTCATGGTGTCTCTTCACAGCAATAGAACCCTAACTAAGGCAGTGTCTTTGTAAATATTGCTTAACCGTGTCAGTATTCATGGAAAGAATATTTAGCCAGTGCTACCTCTTCTGAAAGGTCTGGGAAGTTTAGAAACTTTCAAATGCTTAGCTTTGAAGTGTTTGGTTTTTTTTCCCTTTTTTTTTCAATATATAGTAAGCACCTACAGTGTGAAAGAAATGTTAGTAGACATTTGGGAAAGACCCATGTCAAGAAAGATGTGGTCCCTGGTCATGTGGTATTTGCAGTCCCCGCAGGACAGGGAGCTAGCAAGAGAACACAAGAAAGAAAGAATTATACCCAACAGATCACTACAAAGCCTTACCAAGTGTCATGAAGAACATGGTGACCAAAAAGCATGTGATAATCTCAGTCTAGGCATCTGAGAAGATTTCCCTGAGAAAAATGCTATTTCTTCCGATCCCTATGACAAACTTGTCAAGACAGAGAAAATGGCAGGAAGGCACGTGGAGTTGGGCCTGCTGCAAGGATTACATAAACTGGAAAGGATCTTCAGGGCCATTTCATTTCAGTCTCCTTAGTAGCCATGGGAGGAAACTAAAGTCCAAAGATGTCACTGACTTATTCAGGTTATATCACTAGTGGCCGAGCCGGGCCTAGTTCTCCTGATCTCTTTAGGTGATGGTATAGTGCAGGATCCAGCGTGCTCCCCCTGAGGGCTGGGGACCTGAAGCCGGTGGCTACATCTTACTTAGCCTAGAGAGTTGCCTGGGTCTGTGTAGAAGAAACCTTAAGTTCAGGCCCTTGTGAGCCGTTTACTCCATTCTGTTTCTCTTTGCTAGTAAGATATAATTTAAGAACAAGGCAATCTAGCATTCCAGTCTAGCAGGTTGGTTTGGTCTTCAGCATACTTGTCTCTTCTCCAAGTTTAGAAATGGTAATAATGACCTTAATGATGGTGGTTACTTATTTAGTGCCTGCTCTATATCAAGTACATTTCTAAGCACTTTGCATGTGCTAAATTATTTAATATGAACAACAATCCTATAAGGTACATGTTATTGTTACTCCATTTTACAGGGGAAAGGGCAGGCCTCAGACAGATCAAGGCATTTGCTGGAGGTCATAGGCTAGTGAGCTGTTGCAAGCTATCTAACTCCAATGTCTTATGCGTGACATGAAGGTAGCAAGCCCTGAGGGGAGGCACAGTAAGGATGTAGATGAGGAAATGGATGGGACAGGAAAGCTGAATGAAATCAAGGACTGGGCTATTAACGGAAACACAAAAGAGGGCTGAAGGAACCCAGAAGAGGACTTGCTGAGTGTATCCAAGGTCCTGAAATCAATCCCCAGCACTATAGGAAAAAAAGGTACCAAAGAATCAACATAAGATCACATCAAGGACAAAGATGCCTTATGGTCCTGTTCATCACAGTCCCTCGGATTGTTAATGCCTCTGCTCGCTTGCCTCCTCCTTTATGTCCAGGCCACCAGCATCCTGTTGGCTTCATGTTCCTTTTTCCCATGTTCTCTGTGTCCCTTCCTCCCTCCCTCTTCCCCCACTCTGTGAGTTTGTCTGTGTTGGTGCATGTCACAGGTTTGCCCATGTGTGTGGAGGCCAGAGGTCAGTGTTGGGTGTTGCTCCACTGAAGCCATCCACCTTGTTTTTAGTGAGAGTCTCTCACTGGGACCTTGCACTAGGCAAGTAAGCTGTACTAGCATCAGCAGCAGTAGAAGAGCATGCATCACCACGCCCATCGTTTTCCATGGGTGCTGGGAATTGAAACCAGACTTTGTACAACAGGCATCTTACTGACTGTACTTATCTCTAGCCCCTTATCATTCTTTCCTTTGACAGGGTCTTTGAACTTGGTATTAGCTGAGAATGACCTTAAAGTTTTGATATTGCTACCTTCAGTTCCCCAGTGCTGGAATTATGGATGTGTATCCCCATGCCCAGTTCATGTGGTGCCGGAGATGGAGCCCAGGGCTTTGTTAGAGTACCAAGCAAGGACTCTACCAACTGAGCCATGACTCCAGGCCCCTTGTTTTTCATTCTTGTGGCTTTCTGACTCCCATTCTGAAATCCATGCCACTTGTCCCCTCAGCTTATCCTCAACCCCACAAACTCCCTCCGATTCACATGGCTGAAGACGGACGCCTGGGAGAGCAGCTGGGGGAGCGCAGAAAGTCCATGGCCTCAAATCTGCACCGCTCCTCCGTCTGCAGAGCTAGTCTTCAAGTGTCCTTGGCACATCTTCATAACAGCTTTTCCAAATCTTACCAGACTCCTCACTGCACACCCGCCACCTCCTCCCTAGGCGAGTAACCTGGTTTGGTCTTTCATGGGGAAAGTGGGGTGATAAAGAAATTCAACCTTTTGCTTCTTTACGTGCTATTCCCTCCCTCCTGGTGGTGCCCTGGGTGTCACACCTCACCTTGGGCACCTTTCCTCCTTAACAGATGACTACATTCAAGTCCCACTCATGGAAAACACAATTTCTTCCTCCAGTTCTAACTGGGCCTTTCAGAGCATTGCCCCCTCCCTTATTCCCAAACAGTCAAATTAGCTTGTTTTGGTGTGGCATTCTAGAAGTGTTGGGTGGATGTAAAGATTTGTGTGATGCCACCACAATGAAGACCTAGAACTGTTCAGTCAATCCCCAAATTCTCATGCACTCCCCTTACAGTCAAGGCCTCCAGGAGCACCTCTAAGATGGTAACATTCCTGTGTTCTCCATCCCTGTGGTGTTATCTTCTGAAAATAGTGCACTCCGTGTCATGCCTCTGGAGTTATTCATGCTGTTGTAGTCAGTGATAGCTTTATGATTTCTATTTAAGTCTATGCGTGTGTGTATGTCTGCGTGTGGCTATGTACACATGAGTGTAGATGCCTTCGGAGATCAGAAGAGGATATTACATTACCCAGGAGCTGGAGTTACAAGCAGTTCTGAGCTACCCGAAGTAAGGTTCTGGGAATTGAACTTAGCCCTCTGCAAGAGCAACAAGTGCTCTCAACCACTGAGCTATCTCTCCAGCCTCCAGCCTGTTTCTATAGATTTTTTTCATTTAAATTATGTACATGGGGGTGGGTATATCCACCTGTGGGGTAAGCTTGCCTCAGCCTCACAAGTACCATGACTAAAGAGACAAGAGCGTTCCTTTCAGGAATTGAGCATTTTGATGAGGACAGAATTTTATCAGTAGGAGGACAGAATTTTATCAGCAGTTCTGGGGTGGTTATGCAACCCATGGAGTGCCTGAAGGAAAGATGACCAAAGTTGTCAAAGTGAGAATGAGGGCCAGACTGAAATTGGCAGACTGTACTTTTTGCATTCTCTTATTCTTTGAAAAGTTTACACACATATACAAATATCGTGGTCGCATCCACCCCTCCCTCCCTCCTTCCAACACCCCCTGGGTCATCCCCGCAGCATCTCTCCCTCCTCTACTTAACATCTTCTTTTTCCCTTTTCTTTTTAAAGTTACCTAAGATGATGGTGAGGCTGGGCTAAACCCAACCACCAGGTGTCAGTCTCTAGTAAAAGTAGAAGGGTGGCCAAGGGGTCCAGAGGACAGCAGGACGAGGGTGTGGAGTAGCCTGGGCCCCAGATGGGCACTTTTGTCAGGATAGGGAAGCGGACAGCAATAGACAACTGGAAGAATGCCACAATCCCTCTGTTCTCAACCCTGTGACATTTGTGCTGTCGGGAAAAAGCCCCTACTTGGTGGCTTCCCAGGAGAGGACACCAAAAAAAGGTTAAAGTCTGGGGCTGGGGAGATGGCTCAGTAGTTAAGAGCACTGACTGCTCTTCCAGAGGACCCAGGTTCAATTCCTAGTACTCAATTTGCAGCTAGCAACCATCTATAACTCCAGTTCTAAGGGGATCTGATGCCCTCACATGTACATGGTACACAGACATACATGCAGGCAAATCTCCCATATAGGTAAAATAAATATAAATAAATCTCAAAAAGGTTAGAGGCATTGGAGTATGTAACAGGTTCATTGGACATAGGCTAGGATGGGATATAGATAAAATATTGAGTCTATCCAAAATACCT